CGAGCCGCGGCCGAGCGCTCGCCGAGTTTGTTTGAAACTTCCTGCGCATCCTTCCTTCCCCCCCCCTCCCCCGCTGCCTTTCCTGGGCACTTGTTACGCCGGGGCGGCCCGGTTGTCGTTCCCGCGAGGGGGGCAGCCCCTCTGAAAAGGGGCCGCAGCCGAGGGCGGTCGGCACCGTAACGACGAGGCAGAAGTTTTACGGCTCTGCCGCGTTTCCGCGTCGGCTGACGCGCAGGGCAGCTCGTGTGAGTACGGCTCACACGAGAGAACGGCTAAAGCTTGAGAAAGGTAAGCTGCAAATAATGTTATTAACGATCAGACCCCCCCAAAAAAAAAGAGTCTCGCTCTGAAAGCGATTGCGTTTGGTACGTGTTAGATGCAAGCTCTTAGTTTTTCGTTGTTGTTTGCCTTTTGCGTTTTGGACGTGGCTTGGTAGTCTAACGATATTCTGAGATCAGTTAAGTGATAATTAAAGGCCTGTTTAAGTGTTAATATCTTGCTCCTTAGCAGATACCGTTTTAAAAGATTAGATAGCTATTGTATCAACGTATCTCAGGAATCTTTTGCTCAAATGACTCTAGACCTGGACTCCTGACCCCTTCTTGTAGTTTCATGAGGTAAAGCGATTTTCAAAGCTTGGCTCTTTGCCTAAGATTTACTGGATTTCACTGCAGTGTTGCATAGAGTCCAATTCAGTAGCCTAGGCTGCTAACTGAAATTGGTGGCAACTTTAAGCTTCTGTTAAAGAACTGTGAACTTTGGCAGCTGAAGAGTCAGCATGTGTCCGCTCCACCCTGTGGAGCAGCAGCTGGGCGTAGCACCCATTATGCTTTCTGAAGGGGGCTGTTAGAGCTCTTAGGATAAATAGAAAGCACTACTTAACCTCAAGTATGTCAGTGCTAGTGTCATTCGATATTTTGTCCTTTTGAAGGCTAGGTGATGTTATTTACTTCTGCAAAATACTTACTTACTGTTTATAAAAGAGGGAAGAAAATTATTCAACTCTGCTATCTGTGATGTTGGACTGCAACAGTTGCATGAATCTACGTGCTTCTTTTTTCTACCAGACTACTCGAGTATACAAGCAATTGGCTACCAGCATCTGGATTAGGCTTTCAAACTGTTTAAAAATGTTATTTCCTTACTGTTACGTATAAGAGAGAGGTTGGTCTTCAATTAATTTAGAAGTTACGTAGTTTAGAAATTGATGCTTTGATATGTCAGTACAGTGGTTCTATGCAGTAGCCATTCTAGCTAATAACTGCTCTCTCAGGTTTTTCAGTGCTTAAACGTTTGCTTTCAACTGCTACTTGGGCCAAACACGTTTCGGCAAAAAATACCATCAGACTGATTCTATCTGAACTCCTGTTTGTTATGCTTTGTAAGCAGGAGGGTCAGCTGAGCTATGCTGTCACCATTTACATCTTTGCATTAGTAAGTAGAAGTTGTCCTTCAAACAGAAAACCTGAAATACCACTTGAGATGATTTCACTTGACTTTATTTTGAAGACAATTCCAAGCTGTCCAGAGTGTGGCTACTCAATGTTTTGAGTACTTCAACTCAAAACATTCTTTAAGTATGTTTAGACCATCAATTTTAATTTTCCTTAATCCGGCAGGCAGATTTTTGTCTGAAGTGTTGACCTTTGGTCTGTTTTCTAGGATCTGGGAAAGGAAGTTTCTTGTACAGCTTAACATCATCTGTTTGAGTTCAGAGTCAGAACTTTGGGAAAAATAAGGTGTATGATTGTTAATTTTCAGAACAATCACAACAATAAAAATGTTGGTAAAAGTGTTAATGTTATTATTTGATCTGAATCCTTTTGAACTCTCAAAATCGGTCTGTGAAAGACAACGGTGTGCACTTTGCCTTGTAAAAACAATGGAAGAAGAGTTCTGTAGGCTTCTTAAGTAAACGCGTGTTACTGTGTGACTTTCGTTCAGTTGAATATCTTTGGCTTGACGCTAACCTTGATAGACTAGTTAGGTTGGCTGTGCGTGGTGGTCTCTACGTATTCAGGAAAACGTGCAGTGAGGCACTCCAGGTAGTGGAATACAAAAATGGTCTGTTTTCACGTAATACGTTTTAGTGGTTTTGTTCAAGAGAAAAGGGGGATGTTTTTTCTTTTAGTATGCATGGTGCTGTGTTGATGAAAAAGTGTTTCAAAAGCAGTACAAAAATATCACTTAGTGCAGTTTGTCTACCAAATTCAACTGTACTGAAGATTATTATGTGCAACAGATGATTAGCTGTTGCTGGTGACTAGAGATCTTTCCAGTCCTGCCTCTTGTTCCTCCTCCTCTTCATTTCTGTCACTGAAGCAGTTACGTTTCTTTAAATTTGAATGATAAATACAGTCAGTCTTTAGAAATTACGTAGTAGAGATGTGTCAGCAACAATACCACAGATCATCGCAAAAAATGAAGGAACGCCTTTTTCCAGCTGTAACGACAGTGATGGATTAAAGAGTAGGTTTGTTTATTGCGAATTGCTCTTGTGCGTGTTTGGTTCCTTTTGGCAATAAAAGATGGCCCCTTTGTTTCATACGCTTAGCTGTATTTCTCCTCTATGTATATCCAGGAGTTTTGCTTCCTTTAAAAAAAAGAAAAAAGGAAAAAAGGGGGGGAGGACTTTGCAGCTGGGAAGGACCTGGGTTGTTAAGTGAAGCCAAGGCAAAACCTGAAACAGCAGAGTTGACAAAAAAAGCCACTTTGGAAGTCATGAGAAAGTACCTGTTGTATCATTGTCAAGTCTACTGCTTTTGGTGGTAACTGGCACTTTTGTAGATGCACAAACAGCTATTAGAATAGCTAAAGAGGCAGCATGCAGTGGTCATGGTTGGAGCTGGTTAATTGGGGGAGAGCCCTAAAGCTTCTTAAGCCAGGTTTGCTGCGAAATAGTGTTAAAAACTCCATCCTTGGCTTTGTTGCTTCGATTGTTTAGAGTACAGCCCTGCAAAATTGAATCAGTGAAATGTCTCAGGTTACAAAAAGTTACTTCTTACCCCAAAATGTGTGGGTCCCCCCCCCCCTTACACAGCGTAGAGCATTGGCACAACAAAGGGGACAGAATCTCTGATGTAGCAAAAACAATCAGGATGGGATAGGAAGCTCCTCAACTGCCTATTCACTGGGAAAACCATAACATGGTATGGCAACCGCAGGCAAACCTGCAGCCGGTCAAGATACTCCTGGGCAATGGGCTGATGCTGTACAGTTAATCTTGAGGAAGCCTTCTTACCTCAGTTTGTTTTCAGGCTTTATTGTTCCCAACCATGCGTTGGGCACTGTTTGCCTTGTTTTAGCTGTCACGAAACAAGTACTAACTGTGGCGTTTTTAGATTCCAGAATTTGACAACTTATACCTGGACATGAATGGTATTATACATCAGTGTTCACATCCCAATGATGATGATGTTCACTTCAGAATCTCAGAGGATAAGATTTTTGCTGATATCTTTCACTATTTGGAAGTACTATTTCGCATTATTAAACCAAGGAAGGTTTTCTTCATGGCAGTTGATGGAGTAGCTCCAAGGGCAAAAATGAATCAGCAGCGTGGGAGACGCTTTAGGTGAGAATATTTGTTCTTGCTCTGTCTTTAAGATAGTAAGCATTTTAAAAAACAAACAAACATGGGGTTAACGTAGGCAGTGAAACATAAAATAAATTCTGAGCGGTTATGCCGTTGACAGTAGATACTATTTTTAGTTAAATGAAGGTAAATGCCTATAAAATGTTAATTCCTAAAATCATGATTCAAAAAAAGGAAGTGCGCTCATTACGTTAGATTTTTTTCCTCTATGTATAAGTTCTAGGAGTGGGGTTTTTTGGTTTTGTTTTTTTTAATGACATTTTCTCTGGAATGAATCTGTCATGGTGCTTTTGCGAATGTGCTTGGTGGCTTAATACCTTTAGCAATCTTTGGCATTTGTGAATGCTATTTCTAAATGGACCTTTTTGGTCACTGTTACTAAATGTTCTTTAACAGTCATAGAAGGAAAAGAGAAATTCCAAAGAAGAACATGAAATGGGATTGAGAGAAGGACAACAATTTTTAAGTTGTATAGAGTACGGTAAACCATTCTTAAGACGCTTTTTTTTTTTTTTTTTTTTTCTCCCCCGATTCAAAAGGTGTTTGTAGAATCCTTGACCAAGAAAGGCTGGGATGATTTGGTTTCTCTCCATTACTGATTAAGAGAAGTTGTTAGATCTGAACGGTATTCCAAAGTTTCTGCTTTCTTTAACCTTATCACCAAGTTATATGCTCTTTATTAGTCTGGAATACCATTTTCAAATATTCCAAACGTTCCCCTTGTTTCAACGTTCATTTGCTTTCATTGTGATCAGTCACTAAAGGTTTTCTTGGTAATCTAAATATTAGCAGTGTCTGAGTAATGACAGATTATCATAATTACTCAAAAAAAAAAAAAGAGCCTTTCAGTTTGCAATTCAATTTTTGAGTCTTTCAGTTGCACCAGAGATGATATAAACTGTTCTTAGGTGTTAGATTTCTTTTCCTTTTTTTTTTTTTTTTTTTTTTTAAATACTCTTCAAAAAAGCAACCATACCTATTGTGTTGGGAAAACTATACTCTAGGGTATTACCATTTGAATAAGTCAATTTCTTCCCTTCTCCCCCCCACCCCACGCTTTGCTTTTAGGTCAGCAAAAGAGGCAGAGGACAAAATAAAAAAGGCGTTAGAAAAGGGAGAAACTCTCCCTGCAGAAGCCAGATTTGACTCTAACTGTATTACACCAGGTAAGATAATCTGCTAATTAATTCCAGAGCACAGATGTAAAAATAAACACATTATAATTATTTTCCCATCCAATAGCCTTTTTTTAAATTAAGGGGCAGAATTTATAAAGGTCTCAAGTAAGTTGGGAATGCAGATCTGAAAAACTTATAGTAATCTCACTCTAGAAATTTTTAAAATCACTGTAGAAAAAAATGAAACATCATTTAAAAAAAACCCTGACTCTGCCCGTTATCTCCAGCAAGTTGTTTTTCTTGCTGTTTTCCACTAATACCTATGATACGTAAATGCAATCTTGAATGACTAGTGAAAATGTTTTGTGTATAACTTCTAGATTTCTGTTTTCAGGAACTGAATTCATGGCCAGATTGCATGAACATCTTAAATATTTTGTAAATATGAAGATTTCCACAGACAAATCCTGGCAAGGAGTAACAGTCTACTTATCAGGCCATGAGGTTCTTGTATTCTGTTAATGATTTATTTAAAATAAATGCTTATTTTATAGCAAAATGCTTACTGATGAACTTTGGTTTTGTACACAGACTCCAGGGGAAGGAGAGCATAAAATTATGGAGTTCATCAGATCAGAAAAAGCAAAGCCCCATCACGATCCAAACACGAGGCACTGTCTCTATGGTTTAGACGCTGACTTGGTATGTGTAGTTAATATGAACAACAACTGAGTGGATTGTTCCTTGAAACGTCTTTGTATTGTAGGTGCTTATAGTTTTAAGATGTTATTAAACATGCACATAATTTTTTTTATTCCTTCAAGCTCTTGAATTTGTAAGGAAACAGAACAAACAGCAACATTTCTTGATGTTTCTCATGTCTTGAATAACAGTTTAAAATGGCATAAAACCCTTCTTATATCTCTTTGTAACAGATTATGCTGGGATTAACAAGTCATGAAGCACACTTTGCACTCTTAAGAGAAGAAGTCAGATTTGGTGGTAAAAAATCTCAAAGGTGAACTGATTTTAACCATCTTGTTCTGTATATGATGAAATGAGATTCAAAAGATACGGGGTCACCGAAACTATTTGTTATTGTTTGCATATTTAATTTTAAGGTCATATTTTTTTCTAACAAACAGTAAACTATTAATTTAGAGGAACTAAATTGTTGTGCATTTGAATTAGTTAACAGGTGAAAATGTATGTTGTCAGGGCAGCTGATAAAAATCCTTAGAGCTTTGGTGTGTTGTGTTTCTTGCTCCATACTCTGAATGGGGCAGCCCAGGCTGTAGTGACGCTGTTTCCATAGTTGTCTTATAAATTAAAAAACTCTGAACACATCTCTGTACACATCTCTGTGCATAAATGCACATCTTTGTGCATTTAAGCAAATAACTAGAGTAGTTACTAAAAATAAAGAATCTTAAAGTGGCTGGCTGGGTGCTCCTATTCTGGATTTGCCCATTTGAACTAACTTGTAGGTTATCATCAGTCAGAACAAGGCATTTTATTTCCAGAAGTGTGCGTGCACATGGAGCTATTCTGAAGTAATAGAAATATTTATTTATAACAGTTACTGTGGCTAGTTTCCTTCTTTATTGAACCTTAGGCCTACTTTCGGTGGACAAAATGGTGGCTATGAGAGATAGAAAGACAAGAAATAATATTTGCTACGTAAAAACTCTTGGATACTATGATGATAAGTCATGTAATTGTTTAGATAATTATATCACTTTTGCTAATGCATCAGTGTGTTTATTGCCAAGGAGATATGATAAACATTAGAAATAGTTTTTCACTTCCTTGTCTTCTACAGTCATTTTTCACTAATGCTGGTGAAGCCTATCATGTTTTGTTGCTGGTGTCGGCATGTAGCGTTAAAACTTAGGTTTTGGTAGCGTTAAAACTTAGGTTAAAAGTAAAAAAGGATATTCAATGAACCCATCAAAAGGTTATCTTTAGGAAAATGTGAAATGAAAAGGCCAGATCTCCTAGTAGCTTTTTTTTTTTTTTTTCCCTCAAGCATTGCTTTGTGTATGTCCTGTTGTAGTATCCGGAGAAAATTGCTCAATAGAGGAATTTACTCTGTAACTTATTAAAAGCCTGTCAAATATAGTTCTCCTTTGCCTTTTGTCAGTATTGTCTTTTTTATGAGTATTTAATGATGGAAAATTTGAAAATATTAAAAATATGTACAGACTGATATCTCTCAGCAGCTTTTTGGTTGAGAGAAGTTCTTTGTGTTGAGTCAGGATTTTCAGGTCGGATTACATGAAAAATAAAGGGCTAACGGAAAAGCCTTACAGGATCAACCTGGATTTTCCAGAGTTCCGTAATATTTATTTTAACGTTACATTTAAAGTGACTGAGTTAGATCTAATGTTCCACACAGCTCAGGCTTGCCTTAGTACTCTTCATGTAGATTTGGTTTTCACACGCATCATCTTCAGAGAGCTTTAGACAAAGCAGAGTGTGTATAGCTGTGTGTGCACACACAGGCGCTTATGCTGGCTTGTCCTTGGAGGTGGTCTTAGCTAGTTATAATATCTACATGTTGACATAGTCCTTCCCTGTTTAAAATATATCAGTCTTCAGCTCACCAATCTTAATATCTTTTTGGCTTAGGTATTAGCTAGTTTTAGTGAAGAGCAGGAAAGGAGAATATATATTGATTACTTATGCAGGAGACTAATAGTAGGTTTGTCACTTTTGCACTGTAATACCGTGTTCTGAAGCCACCAGATTATGCGTATGGAACATATTTTCAAATTGAGCATATTAGTACTTTTTTAAGCAAAATTGTAAATGACTGAGAATTTCAATGCATATATACCGTAGATAGTTTAGACATCAATCTGTGTGCTCCGTATGTACTCAGACTAGTTCTACAATATCATAAAACGTTTATTGATACTGGTACAAGATTAGGATGAGGTTTTCCCTTATTGTGGACAATGGGACAATTACTGAACAGCTAGTTACAGCAACACGAAACTTGGCAAAGCTGCTAAGCTTTCTGTAAGCTAGCTGTTTTCCATACAGTGCAGTCACGTGTGCTGTTTAGAGGATTTTAAGGCGAATTTTTATAATTTTTCCATTAATCATAAAATAGATGCAAATGTAACTTATACCTAATGCCTTCTGAAAAAATATAATCCTAGTATAAACGCTTTTTTAGATAGCTTTGGACTTATTAAATACTCATATATGTTTTATAAATAATTGACTTAATGCTTTGAATAATTTACAGAGCATGTGCGCCAGAAGAAACCACATTTCACTTACTACACTTATCACTGATGAGAGAATATATTGATTATGAATTTTCACCAGTGAAAGTAAGTCCTAATGGAGCTGTGAGTGAAAAATGTGTGAAAGTTTTGTGTGTAAACTTGATCATTAAAATCTCCTTGTTGTTGTTTATTTATTCCAGGACAAAATTTCCTTTGAATATGATATTGAAAGGATAATAGATGATTGGATCTTAATGGGTTTCCTTGTAGGCAATGATTTTATCCCTCATCTACCTCATTTACATATTAATCATGATGCACTGCCGCTACTTTATAGAACATATATGGCTATCTTGCCAGAACTCGGAGGTAAGTGGGAGTGAAAAAGAGGGCTAAGGAGAAATATACCTATAGAGCAGGCCAAGATCAAGAGGAAAGATTAAATTCAAGTACCATCTTACTAATATTACAATAATGTTTGATAATCTTTGCTGAAGTATAGTGTTGGTCAAAAGTTAATCTTTTCTAATCTTCAGCTGTCTCTGTGACTACTTGCATTTCTGAAAATGTTGTTCTTCGCTGCTGGTTTTTTTTATTATAATAATGAAACAGAACCAGATGAAGAATGGGAAAGAACAAAAGCATCACTGAGTTTAACTCTGTTATCTCATACCACTTTTAATAGGATCTCTGAAGGATATCAAATCTTCTTGTCGTTTACCTTAGGATTACTGTGTAACACACCATTGTTAGGAGTAGTTGGACTTGAACATAGTTTAAAAAAAAAAAAAACCCTGCTTTTGCTTTTTTCTAGAGTGGTTCTCGCAAAATAAGTGTGTGTATATATATATAAAAGTATACATAAAACCAAGCACAGTTTGGTCAGTATGTTGATTGAGAAAGTGAAGGAGAATATGCACGCTTCTGCAATATGTAGAAGCGTTGCGTTTTCTTTCCGTTAAGAGAACCAATTTAGTATGGTTGCATGTCATATACTAAGATGGTTTTTAGAGCACACTGTGTGGGTAGTAGATGAAGAATAGCAACACGTATGTAGAATTAAAATATAAAGAACTACGATCTCTTTTTTTGTTCATAGAGGGACCTTACAGGATTGTGGAAACCAACGTGTGGACAATGGTGTTGGTTTTTTTGCTTTTGTTAAAATATTATGAAGGGTTTTGGCAGGAACAATAAGTTCAGTCGTGGAAAGTAGAAACATTAGCACTCCTGCGGTTATATTTATTGATCTTTGTCATGTTAGAAAACTTAACACTGTAATACCTTCTTCAAACAGCTGGTAAGATTGCATTGTAATATTTAAAGGGCTTCTAAATTGCAATTTTAAACATCATTTTGGTTTTACTTAAAAAACAAACAACAACTTTATTTTCCCGATAGGTTACATAAATGAAAATGGGCATCTGAACTTAAAACGCTTTGAGAAGTATCTCACAAGATTGTCAGATGTGAGTAACTTGGTAATTGCACTATGTAGAAGGATATAGTCCCCTTAAGCATACATTCCATGTAGTTCCCCTAAAATACATGATGTTGCAGTTCTAATGAACTGCTAAATGACCATGTTTACAGGTGGTATCATCAGCTGTTCTATCTTGGGACCCAATCAGTTGTCACCTGATCTTATCATAACATAAGAGGAAAAAAACGTTGAGTAATTTGCTTTATGCATTAACCAGCACTGAATGAGGATTCACAGTAGAATCTTAGTCCTCGTTTTCCATTGACTAATGAGCAGCAATACTGAGCAAAGGGTTCTGCAGGCAGCATTATTCTTTGTTTCCCCTGCTTGTCTGAACTTTAACTTTTTAATTTCTTGTGGGTGGAAGGTGTGTTTGAAGATCTTGGAGTGAAGTATTTTTTCCAAGTATTTTTATGGAGGTAAGAGCGTGGTGGAGTATTAGAATCTCTCAGAGTTGGGCAGTAGCATTCTTCATGAACCGATACTAACTGGCATTCAGGAGGCAACCCTGTTGAGTGCTGTGCAGTAATGCGTCCTAGAGATGAGAGATGATGTAGATCATTTTGTATAGAAATGAAAGTGCCACAGCCATTTGGTAAACTTCAAAGGAGAAAATTCATCTGCTGCCCCTACTTCTACCTGAGAATCTTGAGACAGGGCTGATCTACTAAAGTGTTAGGTATGGTGTACGATACTGTATTACTTGGACTCTATATACCTTTCTTGTTTGTAGAATTGGTAGTGAAGGTTGAAAATTATTAACTCTTTTTGTTACCTATTGCTACGTAACTGAAAGAAAATAGGACTTGGGTGTATGTTATGTGTTGCCAAGAAAAAAGACGGAGCATGTTAATCTGTTAAATTAGTTGTAGCTCTAGGGCAAAACATTTGTGTACTGGTGGCTCTGGATGTAATCTAATGCACTTACTAAAAAACATTGTTAATTTAACGGTCTGAATTCAGTTGTCTCTGTGTTCTAAGTTAATTTTAATTCTTCTGTGCAGTTTGATCGTGAACACTTCAGTGAAGTCTTTGTAGACCTAAAGTGGTTTGAAAGTAAAGTAGGCAATAAATACCTCAACGAGGCAGCTGGTATTGCTGCAGAAGAAGCCAGAAACAATAAACAAAAGAAACCTAAGGTTAGTGTTTTACATGCTTAATTCTGGAACTGAGAATGTTGTTATTCCTAGCAAATCAATAATTTGCCTGCTACGGTACTTTAAATTTCATACAAATTGAATGGCATAAGTCTCAATTTGGGCTTTTTTTTGAGATCTGAAAAGCAGTAGAGTGTGACATTTGAGGAATTGCCTTTATGCATTGCTGATCATGAGCGATGAAATGGTTAAGTCAAGGTCAAGTTCTCCTGTTCTTTTTTTTTCTTTTCTTTTTTTTTTTTTTTTAAATCTTGTAAATCCGTAACTTAACGCTTTTTTAACAACTCACCTGCACCAGCAGGCTTACTTCAGGATGAACTGCAGTTAAACTTGCTAAGCTTTAAAATTTTACTTTTCAATGCAGAGCCTGATGGAAGTTTCTTAAATATCTTAGTTACACTAATTGAACATTGGTACGCGTTGATGAATCCGCAGTCTTGGTATTGGCCAACTATTTGACGATGAATAGATAAACAGCAATTTGATCGGTTTGAGCTCTATCAGATCTGTTATCAAACTTGCAGTTCTGTATCCAATTAATAATCAACAGCGTCTTTCTCGGGGAAATCCTTTCTCTGTATTTTTGTCTCTGCCCCACTGTTATGTTTTTTGCTTTTTGTTGCTTGTTCCTGCTACGTATTGACTGTGCTTCAATATATGCCTTGCAGTAGTGGTGCTTTCCATTGATAGAGACTGTAGCAGTAGGAAATTCCTTCAAGTGTAATCTGCCATCGCATATCGTTGTCCTGTTCTTTAGCGCGGTTTGAGATTTGTAGGAGCGAGACGTTAGCTCTTCCTATGATAAGATATGCTGTATTCTGTTTTGTTTTCTTATTTGCCACAGAAGTTTGGAGTAGCTGTATAGTATTAGCTAGCCATCTTGACGGGTCCTTCGAATGGCAGTGAGTCAGGAGCTTGCATATCTCGGGTACAGGGGAAGAGGGCCTATTTAACGACTGCTTATTGAAAGCTACTCAGTGCTGTACACAGAAGAGTGTGTAGGATAAGAATGAAGTGAATACTTTGCCTGTATGAGTCCGTAAAACATTCTTTCTGCCCTTATTTCTCACAAAAGTGATTTGAACTCTATTAAAATCTGATATTAAAAAAAAAAAGGGATTTTATGAGACTGCTCTTTCATTTGACGTGTATGGATAGAATCACTTTCTTCTGGCAATTACAAGGGAAGGAAGTGTAGTTTTATAGGAAGTAGTATGAAATAATAGTTAGGCATATACATCTTGATTGCAGCCTTTTGAGTTGCAGATTGTATGGTTATGAATTAGGTATGTGCATATTTATTCTATATTTCTACTTAATCTCAAATATTCGTTTGATAGGCTCAGGAAAACTCTTTATGTTTGGCTGCTCTAGAAAAAAATGAAGATGAAGTTGTGACCTCTAGAAGTAAGTGCAAATTATTCCATATGCCTATAACAAAAACTTAATTTATATATAGATTTAGAAGATCTATAGGTATTTCAGGCCAGAGACAGCCTTAATCTAAATGAATCTCGTTTTATTAGCCAGCTATTGGGAAATGGAAGTGTACGTTACTGGCTTCTCGTAAGAGGGTGTGGGGCGAAAGCCTTGGAAGTGCTTCTTACCTGCCCAGTATTTCCATGCCTAATTTAAAGGAGTGAATGAGTAAATCTTAATGCTATTTTTTTAATTATTTGCCTAGGCATGTTGCTATACAGATTGGGACAAATGAACAGATTTGTTGATTTGGCGTTTTGTATAGTTTTAGGGGTGTTGACTGTGTTTTTAAACACGTTCCACTTGTAAGAAATATCTTTTGCTCATGTAGTGAAGTGCGATATCACAGATGTATAAATATTGTTCAGTGATACAAGACAATGTCGTTAAAAATAAATTTTAAAATGTTTAAACATTTTAAAATTATTTTCTGGTGATTTATGGTCTCTTACTCTCTTCTGTTCTTATAATTAGGCCACAGAAGGGGTTGCCTATCTTTATTTAAAACAAAAAAATTCCAAACTTTCTCCAGCTAAAGCTTTAGTTTGATTGTTTTTTGTTCTTTTCTGTACAAGGAAAGAACAAGCACCTTAACTGAATTGAGGAAAAAAGCATCAAATAAAAACCAAATGTCTTGAAACCTTATTATAGTAGAGAAGTTAATGCTAAGGCAGTTTTTCATGGCTTCTTTTTTAGGTGTGTTGGAAGATGAACCAGAAGATGATGATCTGTTTGAAACTGAGTTTAGGCAATACAAGAGAACTTACTACATGACTAAGATGGGCGTAGAAGTAGTTTCTGAGTAAGTCTATGCTGAATTACTTATTTTTTTTTAAACACCAGAGACAAGTTTTTCCGTATGTGTAACACAAGTCAGAACAGTCATCCATGCCGAAGGCGGAAGAGAACTCTTGGCAGTGTACTGTAGCTGTGATGCTTCTGGCTGATGCATAAAGAGATACGAGTCAGATTTTCATAACAAGTCTTTAAGGGCCGGAGAGAAAGAGTCCCTTACTATTGAATGGTCGAGAAAGCCATGTGTTTGAGTTCCAAAATGCTCTACCTTCATTCCTATGTACAAAGAGACAAGTAATTTTTATAGGCTGTTGAAAATAAGAAATGCTTGTCTTTTTTGTTTAAGTGACTTCTTGGCTGATCAAGCTGAATGTTATGTCCAGGCAATACAATGGATTTTGCACTATTATTACCATGGAGTTCAGTCATGGAGCTGGTAAGAAAAATGCAAATTTCACCTTGTATGTTGGGAACATTTAATGTAGGTTTGCTTATTTCTGATCTGTGAATGCTGCAGTACTGTGATTAACTCAAATAACTTAGCAGTTCTTCTTCTGTAGGTATTATCCGTATCATTATGCACCTTATCTGTCAGATATTCGCAACATCAGTGAACTCAAAATCAAATTTGAACTGGGAAAACCTTTCATGCCATTTGAACAGCTTCTTGCTGTACTTCCTGCAGCTAGCAAAGATTTGTTACCTAAATGTTACCAGGTAGGGTTTGGAATTAAAGTCATCTATAATAATATTCATCTATAACTTTCTCGTTTTATTGTTTGCTTTATTTTGAATGAATTCCTTTTCTGATATTTTTACATGTCCTCTTATTTATATTCTACCTCTGAATTTAGGTGTATGGTTAAATACTTCTTACTGTCCTTCATACATTGTGAAGTAATTTAGTAAATACAAAATTTTGAACTCACTGAGGAATTTCTGAACGGAACAGTTAATAGATGTTTACTTCCTCTTCAGCCTTAAGTTGGCTTTAGTATCAAACTTCCTCTCTGCCTTCCTGGAATTAGTGTTAAATTGTCTGTGAAATTGTTTGATTCCTGTATTGTATTTTCCTAGCATTTGATGATTAGTCAAGACTCTCCTATTATAGAATATTATCCACCAGATTTTAAAACTGACTTAAACGGAAAACAACAAGAATGGGAAGCTGTCGTATTAATCCCATTTATTGATGAGGTGAGTTCTTTTAATATTTGCTATCTATAAACACTTGCAAACAAACCTCCTGCTAAACTTCTTATTCAATCGGCAGTTGCAATTGCAATTAGGTGGAAGTTTCAATTAACATTTGATAAGACCATGGAAAAATGCAGATGTTTGTTGCCTGGAAACTGAAGGCTACGTTTAGTTACTGACAGCAAACTTAGCTTCAATTGGGAAAAGTTTTGAGTAAAGAATGTGGGCTTTCTTTTTGTTGCTTGTTCTTGTTTTTAATCAGATAATAGTTTTGGACTTTTTGAGGAAAAAATTTCCTGTTCCTAAAAACATACAAAAATACAGCATCTGTAAGTAAAATAAAAAAAAAAAAAAACCTAAAAAAAATCTACTTACAAAAAATCGTCTCTTCGTGTGGGCAGCAGCAACGGGCAAAAGACCTGAAGCGCAAATTGAACTATAGAATGTTCAAGACAGGAATAAAATAAATGGATTCTCCTTTTGCATAGAGGATAACAATTTTCATCAAACTGAATTTGAGTGCACCCAAGAGAGTAGGTGAAAATAAAAGTGCAGACTTGATATTAAGTTATGTACAGGTAGTGCTGTGTGCCTATTGGTTGTTTCCATAGTTCACAGTGGAAGGCTGATGGGACTTAGTCTCCTCAAGAAAGAGGACAGTTATTTGAATGACCAGTAGGTGCTTGAAGCTTCTTCAGTTTTTATTTTGCAGAATAGAACCGACTTTTATGATAGCCTGTAACACCTTTTTAATATTTCTTTGTATGTTAATTGTAAAAGGTAAAATATGACTAGCACTTTACATTTTTGAAAATATGTTTCTAATCTTTATCCTCCAAAGCTATTCCATTGTGATTGTCCGACTTTCCTGGTAGTGGGACATGAGGAAGGGAAGGGGAGGCTGCACTTAGACAATGATCACATTAACCAGAAAAGTGCAGGTATCCACCTTCCTAGGACAGAAGTTTTTGTGCACGTTTTTGTTGCCAGTTTCACCTATGTTAATTTCTCTTTAAATTTAGAAACGACTGCTGCAGGCCATGGAATCGTGTAATAAGTGCCTAAAAGAGGAGGAGAAACGGAGAAATACTCACAGTGCTTGCTTAATGTACTGGTATGACAAAGATACAGAATTCAAGTACATGTCACCGTGGCCAGAAAAATTCCCTGCAATAGAAAGGTGTCATTCCAGGTAATACTATTAGAACTATTTTAGAGTAGATTAAAAATATTTAGAATACTCTCTCTAGCATTTTAGCCAAAGCTTGTGTGAGACATGAGAGGATGAAAGACTGGTATAAACACCTGACAGTGGTGGCGATTCATCAGCACGCTAATTCCAGATCATTTGTAAACCATTGTCTGTTTGGATCAGGATCCAGTGCAGAGAGTTAAACACAAGTGTTTCATTCATTTTCCTCTCACTGAAAGCAGTCCGCTTTATTTAACACTGACTGAGGTGTCAAGATTAAATGGAAATGAAACGTTAATCGTAACCAAACTTAGACAAAATGGAAGAGGAATGACTGTTGCAAGATTACACTTGAAGAAGTAATAGCTATAAAGATGAGCGATGCCATGTGTAACCATTGCTAGTTTAGAATTTGGATATAACAGTGAATTAAAACAGCCAGATTGTGACATGCTTTAGCTAAAAGTTAAATTTTGTCTTTCTTGTAATGAGTAGTGTCTTTATAGAAATAACATGGGTTTCACAGTCCTTTGTGCAGGATTTTACACAAATGGCACAAAGTAATAGCCACCATATAGAAAAGTCAAAGGGTATGCCAGTTTGTTAAAGTCCAAAAGTGCTTTCTAGAGCCACGGTGAAGCTGTATGAGCAAAATTTTGTAATTTATTTTTAGGTTTAAAACAATTCCTTTGGATGCCTGGCACGTAGAAATAACCCACAATAAAATAACTAAAATCAACAAGAGTGCGTTATATTTCTGTGGATTTCCTACTTTAAAGCACATTAAACATAAGGTAAATGATTTCTCTGATATTTGTATTTAATAGATTATTACATAAGATTTCAAGCAAGTTTTATGTACTCTTTTTGTTCTTATCTAGTTCTATCTTAAGAAAAGCGGTGTGCAGGTGTTTCAACAAAGCAGCCATGGAGAAAACATGATGTTAGAAATTATAGTTGATGAGAATTCAAAAGAACAGGTAAATGCTTGGCTTTTTAAAAAAATATGCTTGTCATAAAAAAGACAAAACTTGTTAAATAGTCCAATTTGATAGGTTGATTCTTTATCTTCTTAATAGCGCATTATAAGACAAAAATACTTGGAATAATACTGCAGCAAGCATTTCTTCAAGAAAATCTCCTATACTGATTAAATAATTTAAGTTAGTGTCGCCAGATTTTTGTAAAATTTGTTTAACTAGTAATGCTTTGGTTTCAAAATGAAATGTAGGTATAAGTGTGTAAAACTTAATTAGTTCTGTCAATGCTGTTTATAAGGTAGATGAATTTACCTCTCATTTCATAAGTTGAAATATACCTGTACGTCCAGAACGAATGAATTGTCAGAAACACTGAGAAGCAAAAAGATTTTTTTCAGAATCTCTTGAAGGTTCAGCAATGTTTCATATCAAAAGTGTCAGGTAGCAAAAGGCAAATGCAGGAAAAGAAATGGAAGAAGAAAAAAAGATGGTGGGGGGCATGGAATGGAGAGAGGAGAAAAGCAAGGACAGAGGAAGGTGAATATTTAAGATACGTGGAAAAGAGAATTAAATAAGCTAAAAAAAAAATAGGTTAAAAAGTAGTGCAAATTCACTAGAAAAAGAACATAATACAAGACCAAAATTACAGATGCTAGCAAGGGTAAAAACAGCGCTGGCCAGAAGCGCTGCTGCTTTATTGCAGTAAGATACAACAGTAAAATCTATAATACAAAATATTTTAATAATCTCAAAGTACATTGTCAGTTTGAGTACTGTTATTCCCAGAGATGCAAATAGTTCTAAGTGATTTAGCAAAGGGCACATAGGAGGTCTATTCCAGAAATTGAAAGACAGATCTTAAAACTAACATATTGTGCCAGATATAAAAAGCCCCACCTGAAGTATGATACTCCATCCTAAAAAATGAAATGCAGTTTTCTTGATCATTTGTAATCGAAGAGTATATGTAAAAAGATATCAAAGTAAAGTTCAATAAGCTAAAATTATTTTTTTTATTCTGCAAGAAATGCTGTTCTTTAATTAGAATAATTTTTAATGCAGTACACAGTTCAGATTTTTTTTATATCATTCTAATATGTTAAAGAATTAGTAACTTGTGGAGTTTTTTTTCTCCCAGACTGTAGAAAATGTTGCCAGTTTGGTCCTTGGAAAGCTCGTTTTTGTTAACTGGCCACACCTCGAAGAAGCCAGAGTTGTTGCTGTATCAGATGGAGAAACTAAGTAAGAGAGATTTCATAGATGGTGAATTGTTTTATTCAGTACAAAGCTTCTGTACAACCTGAGGAATTTGTTTTAAGTACATATTAACAGCAAATGAGTCCAGATGTATCAAAATCTGCTTGGTGGCAGAAGCTTTGTTTTGAGCTCTGAGTGTCTGGGTAAAAGCCCAGCCCTCCAGTGTTTTGCTCTAGTGTAGAAGTTTGGGAGAGCCCGTTCTTATTTTGAGGAGGGAAGAGCACATGTGCAAATCCACGCAAATAACATGAAGGGAGAACATTTTTCTAGAATCTTCCTTTCAACACATGCACTGTTTTTTTTTTTTTTTTTTAATAAAAATCACACAGCGTGGCCTGTTGTGAAGCTGGTAGAGAAATCTGTGCTATACGTTTTCTGTGTCTTCGAGTAGTCCTAGCTGCTCTAAGTTCTGCTCACGGTTGGTTATGTCTGGATTAATCCTATGTGGGTAAATTCATACCTGTTAAAATATTCTTAAGGTTTTATTTGGAAGAACCACATGGAACACAGAAGCTGTACATGGGAAATGCAGTGCCCCCAACTAAAGTGGCATATGTTGGAGATAAGGAACAAAACGTATGGTTAAAAGAAGTTCAAGGAGTTTCCGAACAGTAAGTGACTTTCAATATCAAAGTGTAACTTTGCGTTTTATAGCTTAGCTATGTTTGGTTGCTGTATTATAGACCTAATTAGCAGACAAGAGTTTCTGCATATATGACGATAAAGTTCGGTGAGTCTACTGGAATAAAAGAACATCTGTTGAGATTTCAATATGTGTAGAGTTAGTCACTTAGTATTTAAAATCAGATGATGTTATGAAAGAGTTCTTAAAGGAATGAGTTAAAGTATCTATTCTCCCAGTCAATTTTCTCATTCTGAGCTTAGTAATCCTCAGTTTTAGGTAGTGTATAATGGAGTCATACAATATCAAGGCACAACCCTGATAGCTTACCGTTGTTAAATTTGATTATAGCTCACATTTTTAGAGTGTGGGCGCCTAGTGGAACTCAACTGAGTTACAGTACCATGACATGCTATTATCTGTCAATTGAATTAAATGCCTTAATTACCTTTAAACCTATCCACTGTAAAGGTAAAATGTGTTTAAATTAATACAGTTAACTACATAGTGATGGCCCCATACCAATAGGTAAGCAGTTGGTTAAGCCATTTATTCTGGGCATTTTTTTTTAAATAAAAACCAGCTTTTAGAATCCCTTTGTTAAGAGTAAATTTTTTTTTTTTTAATAAATCAATTCCACCCTGTTGGTTTGTATGTTGTAATCAAACTAAACGTTCTATTTTGTGTTCAGTTACCAGAGAAGAAAAGGAATAATTATTCATGAAACATCAGTAGTTGTGTATGCTCAATTACTCACTGGTAATAGATATCAACTAAACCAAAATGGTGAAGTTTATTTGGAGAAGCAGTGGTCAAAACAAGTTCTTCCCTTTGTTTACCAAACTGTTGTCAAGGTAAGTATGCAAGTTCAGCATCTCCTTGCACATAGCCCCTTATTCCGTTAAGAGGAAAAAGAACAAACGCTCCTTTAAAGCAAAAGAATGAAACAAAAATGGATGAGCATCTTGAATTAGTGTGTTGTTTACTGTAATAAAAATATGACGTGCCTCTTTAAACTGTTTAAAGAGGAATTTTGGGAGGCGAGGTTTTTGTCCCAGAAGTTGGGACCATATTGCATAGTTTAGCCTTCTTGCTGAAAAAAAATAAGTTTCTGTCATCTTTTGACTGATGTTTTGAATGCAGTACAGTAGTTGTGCTATACCGGGTAGCATAGTTGCTTTTGTGACTTCATTTGTATGAAGTTACAAAATAGCCTTAACTTCACTGCCTTCAAGGAACCGTTTCAGATTTGAAGAGAATACTTTTAAGATGTTTTAGAATAAGCATTTATTTATATGAACTTTTAAATGATTCTACTGGAACTGAAAGATATTTAACTTTAATAGCATGAATTTTGTCTCTTTCATATAGGATATCAAAGCCTTTGACTCTCGTTTTTCAAGCATCAAAACTCTGGATGACATGTTTCCTCCTGGGAGTACCGCCTTTATGCTGGGATCTCCTTACTATGGCTGCATGGGAGAAGTTAGTTCAAAGATTTCCCCCCCTCCCCCCTTAGATTTCTTTATTTTTTCAAGCCGAAAATGAACAAAGGTACTCTGTGGCAGTATTGGTCACTACGTTTTGCTAGCTAAAATTTTAAATCAAAGATTCTTTGGTGGTTTAGTCGGAGTAGGGATTTTTCTGCTTTCTCTGACTCTGTTGCTGGCATAACAGGATAAGGGTTGCGTAGCTTGAATGAAGAATTATTTTTAGTAATTATTTGGGCTAGCTTTCGATATGTGTAGTTCCCATTTTGGGCAATGTTAAGTCACGGATTCCTTTAATACTGTTTGACTGGCTCTGTAAGGAAGCAGCGTGTGGGCCTGCAAAGAAAATTGAATGCCATACTGCAGCAAGATTGTCTTGTAGTCTTCCTGCCTTTTTTTAAAGCTATTTAATGTGTTTTGTTTCTCTCCAAGGTTCAAGATTCACACGATGTGATCACAGAAGGTAGAATTCGGGTAGTTTTCAACATTCCGTGTGAACCCCAGCTTGATCCCTTAATACAGAACCAGCATGTAAGTGCTTCGGGTTTTGTAGTCTAAGCTTAAACGTGGTGTCAAATGTATTCTGCAGTGGTAAACCTCTTTAAGGGATGTTTCCATGTTACTCCTTTGCCCTTTGTGTGAAAATCCTTATCCTTTGGGAATAGCCGATATTTTTTTGTTTATCTGTTTTTTAAAGAAATATTCTGTGAAATACAATCCTGCCTATGTTTTGGCCAGTCGTCTCGGAGTAAGCGGCTATCTTGTCTCCAGATTTACAGGGAGTATCTTTATTGGAAGAGGATCAAAGAAAAAGTAAGTTTATGTACAAATGTATTGGAGAATTTTGATTGTAGAGAAGCTTGAAAATTCTAATACTACTCTGCAGGGATTCTGCAATGTTTTAACGCTGTTCTTGTACACAACAATGTATAACTGTGATCTCTGATCTAAAAACTTTCTTTAGAGTATGTTTGCTGTAAATTAAATTCCTGTGCGGTGTGTTTTCTTCCTACCATAAACATATCATCTTGTTAAGTTTTGGTTACTAGAGTGTAGCTCTATTGGCTTTAATGTTCTAGAAAGACAAAAAATTGCATTTCCTAGTTAGCTCTTTGCATAAGTCGTACAGGAGTTGCACCCGACAAATGTTTTGTTTCAGTTGTGCCTAAAACTTGTTCTGATTTTCTTCCTGTTCTTTCTTCTAATTATTGGTTAACGATTGAGTAATCTTAAAACTAATTTTCACTGGAAGAAAAAATATTTAAAAATAAGAGAAGACTGACATGAAGGTGGCTCGTGCTACAGAATGGAATTTCAGTCAAGGAGAAGCTGGAAACACTGTCTCCTGCTTGCCCTTTGGAAGCTGGGCATCAAATGGTTTACCATCATAGAAGCAAAACTTCCATCCAATTCCATAAACGCGTCCTGGAGTTAGAGAGCTGGAGAGGGGCTACAGGAACAGCACCAGAAAAGCTCCCTGACAGGGATGCAGAGATAGCTAAAATCCCTTTGCCCTGATAAATCTGTTTCGTTGCTTACGTGCCGCTCAAAGCTGCCGAAGAGCGCGCAGCAGCACGTTTATAGAGATGCATGCCAGTCAGATGCTGAAAATTGGCTCAGACGGATGTCACTGCCTGTACCACTGTCTAAATGCTTGCTGAGTCGACCGCAAGAGAGAACAGGAATCCCAAAATAGGGGGAAGCTCTTCCCTTAGAGGCAGTTTAGAGTTCACCTCAGGCACATAAGAAAAATCTGTGTTCTGAATACATCTCTGCTAGGACATGCAAAATAGAAAAATCTATACAAATCCTGTAGTGCTTCTGTATCGTTGTGTTTTTGAGGAGTCTCTCAAAGAGGAGCTGCTTTTCTCTCAGTTTATGAAATCAAGCTCCTGTTCTTCCTATTATAGCTACAATCAAACAAAGTATTGCTCAGAGTTCATGATTCTAAGTGTTTTTACAATAGTCTTTCCTGCCTGAGGTGAGAGGTAAAGGAAATAGTGGTTTTTCTTTTGTTAATGTTAAATATAAAACCATCTCTTAAGTAGATCGTTAGGCTAAAATACTTTTTTCAGTTGAGCATTTATTTAGATTAGAACTTTTCTTTAAAAGTCTCCTCAGTGAAAAAGATCTGTGTAACAACCCGCCAGTGGAAGGAGACACTAAAAAACTTACATGGAAAACCTTTCCAACCGGTTGGGAAAATGCGTTTTGGTTTGGTACAAATCAACCCATGTAGGCTAAACAAATGCATATGTCCTGCTGATTAAAAAGTAGAATTGGGGTCTAAATGTATTGTACTTATTGCTCTAATATAAAGGAATAATAATTTTACTTGTGGGTTTGTTTTTTTTTTTTCCCCCTAGCAATTAGTTAGGACTAAAACTTCTTAAAATGTATAAGGGAGAAAATACCTGTTTCTCTGAATGTCAGAACTGTGGTTTCTTAGGAGAGCTCAGTAAAGTAGTGTTTGATGCACGAGCATTTTATTGTGACTTTATGTGTACACGTGCTCTACTACGGTTGAGGGACGTACTTCTACATCGTGGTAAATGCCAGGTAGATAGATTGCGGTTGGTTAGATCTCAGTTAAGGAAGGGTAAAATATTCCCTACCCTCATTTGCAGTAAGGTAAGAGATAGCTACCATACCTGGAACTTTACACCTGTTGCGATACTAATAAGGAAACAGTACAGTGAACTGACCTTTTACATGTTTCAAGTCTGAGGATGTATGTGTGTGCACGTATAGGTTTACGTGCCTATATTATTGCAAGTTAATGAACTTTTTCTTAATTTCTAGTCCTCATGGAGATCACAAAGCAAATGTGGGGCTGAACCTGAAATTCAATAAGAAAAATGAAGAAGTTCCTGGCTATACTAAGAAAGTTGGAAATGAATGGATGTACTCCTCTGCAGTAGAGCAACTACTTGCTGAATATTTAGAAAGGTAGGTATTGCATATGGACTTGATCTAAGCCATCCAGCCTCAACTGATGCAAACCATCCAGTTGCAAGAGTTTGTCCTTCTGGATGCAGGTCTTGTAAGAACTGATGAATTTGCTTTTGGTGATTGCTTGATGGAATTTCCTTGCTTCCAATGTTCTCTCCTTCCAAGACTGGACCTGTTCGTTCTGCAGGTTTTTCAGTTCTATTGAAACGTACTTGGGGTGGAATAATTTTGTCAGCAGCTTACATTGACAAGTGAACAGTAAGACGTTAACTGTAGTTAAAAAAAAAAAAAAAACAAAAACAAAAAACAAACAAAAATCTGGGCTCCAGAAAATTTTGACGCCTATCATGATTTGTTTTGGTGAAGCTGTTATGCGCATCTCTGCAGTAGGTGAACCTAAATCTGTCTTCCATTTATCCACTTGTTAGGGTGCCTGAGCTATTTAATTATATAGCCAAGAACAGCCAAGAAGATATATTCTATGAAGATGACATTTGGCCTGGTGAGGATGAAAACGGGTAAGCCAGCTTTGTTCTACTTGCCCTAGAAGAAAAGGGAAGAGCTGACAGTACTGAAACTGGTGGTGACCCTTTAGTGGCTGCTGAGTAGCTGAAACCTTTTTGTTTCTTCAGCATCGTGATTGTTCAGTGATCACCGTGACAATTTTATCAGCATGTTCTACATTTTAATTGTGGAATCAAAGTCTCTGACCGACTCCTATCTCAAGTCCAATAAATGAGAAATTTAATTTTCAATGGTACTTTAAGTCTTGCTTTTAAAGTACTCTTCAATACTGTATGGGTATGAAGTAGTCACAGAGTCACCAAAAGATCATTTTTTGAAAGTAAGCAATAATTATTTCAAGTGTTTAAGGTGATTTTGCATTTGAAAAATAACGCATACAGAATCTCAAGTGCTTACATGTGTTTTGTATGTATTCAGTCAGTTCTGTGGAGCTTACCCTGTATTTTCCCATCGGTTCACATAGTCGACCAACTGTGCACCTACTTATTCACCTAGCATTTACATTTGGAAGCTGAAAGTAAAAAAGACTTTTCAGAAAGGAAGACGAGGAGCAAGCTTGGTTCCAGATACAGTATAATAATGGTCAAAAAGCTTTTACTGCTAGCCAGTACAACGTGTTGACGGGCCTGGGTTGATACAAATGCATGATCCTGCCTTGTGCAGGCCTTTGCCAGGTGGACATACCATCATAGGACTTTTCTGTAGTAGGAATCTCAGAATTGTGCTCTGTTTTACCATAAAAGCATGCCCTGAAGTGTGTTCTTACTGTGTTGTGAGAAATAGCTGGTCACAGAACCTTCGATCGCAGCCAGACGTGGTTAGTTCGTTGGATACAAACTTAATTTATGGAGTAGACTTTACAGACAGAATGCTTTCAAACAATTTCTGGGTTTGAATATTGTTTTTTGGCTGAGGCAAAATTTCAGAGGTTATACTTTTGAAACAGTATTGCATGATTCAGTTGTGGGGTTTTGTTTGTTTTTTATCCCTGTTATAAACTCTTAGAACAATCTTAGGTTTTGTTACTTCACAAATGTATACAAGCGTTGTGCCTATGTTGTAGCACTTGTCTGAAATATCAGGGAACGTAGTGAAGTGCTTTGTCAGTTTAAATGATTTTAATCAACAGCCTTTTTGTTTAGGGCTGAGAAAGTTCAAGAAATCGTTGCCTGGCTAAAGGCACATCCTGTTTCTGCTTTGTCTCGCTCATCTTGTGACTTACAAATCTTGGATGCAGCCATTGTTGAGAAAATTGAAGAAGAAATAGAGAGATGCAAGGTATGCAGCTCGTTATCATTGTAAGCAGCGATCAACCGAAATGCTGCTGTTGGTTATTTTCCAAGTTTTTGGAATAGAATAAGATGCTTAAAGGTTATCTGTCATTCTAAAGAAAAAGAATGCAGACTGTAATGTAAGAGCTGAACTTCCAACTTCCTTTGATGATCTATGTTGTAAGAGCGCATTAATAATCTTTCTGCTTAGGCTCTTTCTTTGAGAGTAGTAGCTTTGACTCAACTCCGAGAGAGGCCAAGGAAGTTACTAAAGGAAAGGTGAGAGGCAAAGCCACCTGAAGTAGTGAGCTGATTTTCTTAGAAATTGCTTGGAAGGACCCAAAGATAAAGTTGGTGTGAATTCTGGAATTAGTCAAACAACGGAAGCTTCCTCTGTAGGAAGTCAGTCACGTTTTTAAAAACTGGACCTAGTCATCTCAGACGCTCCGTGAAATCTGTATTGTATATCTTTATCTAAACAAAAGAATGTCTGCATTATATCTTCTGATGTTTTGTTAAACCTGAAACCCAGTTTTAATGACTACCTGTTCTTTTCCTTTAGCAGAGAAAGAGCAACAAGAAGGTGCGAGTAACCGTGAAACCTCACTTGCTATATAGAGTAAGTGACTTGAAAAGGTTTTGGTTGAAAATGAAGTTATCCACATCATATTTATTTTACTTATGCTTAATGTTATCAACCTTCAAGAAGCAGAATCACAGGACAGTATTAATTTAAAAAAAAACCCATTATGATGCCTTCTAGGAAATCATTTTGAAAGTGGTCATCTCCCCTCTCTAAAGGGAAAGAATTTCTATTAACTACAAACTCCTTCAAGTATTATACAGACATTCAGTTCCTTTTTATCTTCTGTCCTTGATGCTCCTACAGTTTTAATTCCTTTCACAGGTATATAACGAAGGCAGAATAAAATGTACTTTGCGTGTGTCCCTTTTTCCTTATTCTGCTTTTTATTCAGTTCTTGACATCTGATCAACTGCTAATGTTGCTTGGTATTTCATAGGTACCCATATTACTGATACAGGCAGGTATCACTGACCAGTTTTATTTTGTCTCTGTTGATCTCCTTGGTCTGTCTTGGATCACGCGCAGCGCTGCTATTTCCCAGGCAAAAGCAGTGAGTCAACGTTGCAAGAAAAAAACCATATTTCTTTGCTTTGTGTCTGGGGAAGAAGGCTTCTATGTTCTTGAACAATTTTTTCCAGAAAGTTTGTGTTATACTGTGTTTCCTATATTGTTATAAAGGCATTTGAATTTTAACCCCTCCCTCCCCCCAACCTCTAACGTAGTCTTTTGGTTATTTCAGCCTTTAGAACAACAGAATGGAGTTGTTCCAGATCGAGACGCAGAGTATAGGCTGTTTGACCGTGTTGTCAATGTGAGAGAGAACTTTTCTGTTCCTGTCGGTCTTCGAGGTACCATTATAGGAATTAAAGGAGGTAATGTTTTCTTTGTGGTTACAGCATTATAGCTAAGCTAGTGATGTGAAAACAGGCTGCAGAGTAGTGTTTTGTTCAATGGTTATGAAAATTTGTCACCTAAGAAGCATATGCAACTTGAAGCCGTTAGTAAGCTATTTTCTGTTGTGAATTAAACCTACAGGTCTTCTCTTTCAATGTCATGTGTTAGGCAGCTGTACTTTGAATACAAAGTTACGTACCTTTGTTCCTTCTTAATATGAAAAAGGCAGAGAGATCAATGAAAAAGAACAAGGACTGCCAAGCGGAAAGTAAAGGAAGGAGAATATGGAAAAAGTGAAGAGAAATAGAGGTAGCAAAACCAAAAAGAACAAAGTATTTGCCCTAATACTTGCATTGAATGTAAAATTCTGTTACATGTGATTTGTGTCTCAAATTTTTGTATTTGGATTTTGGATTTTATTCTGTGATATTCCATTTCCAGTAATGACTTGTATTTATACATTCTTTGACACCAAGGTTGTCTGCAAGTCTCTTTCAGATAAACAAAAGGATTCAGTGAAGCAGATGTTACATGAAAGTTTGAGATCTAGTAATAGAAATTGTTTCTGTAGCCTGGCATTGTAGCTGTTATTTTCTCACTCGGTCTGCATCCAACAGGATCTTGAATAAACTAGGTTTGCGTGAGGCTTTTTAAAGAGGTATTTTTTCCCCTACAATTATGGTCTATTAATAATTTCAAAGCAGCATTAGTCTATTATTATGCGAGCAAGATTTATTGAACGTATTGTGAAGGTGACAGTTCCAGATTGCCTGAATGTAAGGATGGCTTGTATCTCCTTTCTGGTGTTTTAATATCAATGACTGTTTGTTTGCAAGACACAGACTGCTATAAGTTGCAGTTCTGTCAGCAGGTTCATAAGTTGTTGTCCAAGGTACGTTTCTGTTAAAGGCATATTTAAGGGGCGGCCGAATGTAACTTTCTTTGAGAAGAATTTCCAAATTGCTGTTAATGAAATGCTTCATTTAAGGAATAAGATATCTTTGTTGCTAATGGTTTAGAGGTTTTGGTCTCTTATTTATTGCATAAACAATGCAGAATTTAAATTATTTAAATAAAAATAATAACTGTCACATATGTAGGATGACATTTTACTTCGTTTTCTATAGCCACTAGAGAAACAGATGTGCTCTTTGAAGTTTTGTTTGATGAAGAATTCCTTGGAGGCCTAACTATAAGGTTTGTGTGTGGGGTTTCGTAGTCATTTCATGCCATTGGTATAGATGACTTCAACTGCTGGCCTTTGGTTTACATTTATGAGTAGTTTTATTTCTTTTTAAGACTTTGTTCCTCAAAGGAGCTGGGTCAGTTTTTGTCTTTTGAGCTTCTCTATGAGGAGAGATAATTCTTATGAACCGTGATATATTTTGGATATGCTCTTTAGGCTTTTCTGCCTATTTAGAAGCTATTACCTTTTAGAAAGCAGACATGAGCCAGCAGACTAAAGCACTAGATCTAACTGTATTCATAAGCAAATATGTATGAAACAGATTATTATCAGTGTGTCTTTAACATATAGATTTAAAAAATTAGATAAAATAATCATTTGTCCTTCTGTAGGCTAGTGACTCTGAACCGCCTGTAGTTGATAATTAGGCACTAAATTCTAACTAGTGTTAAAACCCTGAATTGTTCCTCAGGGAGGTGGAGGCATGGTTAGTGCTTTTGTTCTGAAGTGTGATAACTCTTGTGTACCGAAATAAGCAGCTACTTACCAATGGCTTTAATTTTGCTGCTGGTCTTACATCAATTAAGTTCTTGTATGACAGACGTTATAGGAGAATGTTAGCTGTTCCATGTGTTCAGCAAGCATAACAATCCTGTCCTTCGCAAAAGGGAATTTGTGTTCAAGAACACAAGTTATCTTCAGTGTTCAGAGGCTCAGAATCATAAAGGAAGATATACAGCCGACTAAATTGCTGCTTAACTTGGGCTTATAATTCTGCCCCCGGCTTGAGTTTTCACCTCAGCAAAAGAAAAATAATTTTTGTTCCGTTCGTAAATGTTTCACAGAAATACATACTGCAGGACTATACTATAAAAATTCAATCATCTTTAAAATTGCTTTGAGCTCAGCACTGAAAAGGGCTATATAAGCTCAAAGAGCATTAGTAATTGTTGTTCTCAGTGTTTTGAAAGCCAGAGGTAGAAGCGGAGCACAATGGCACTACCATTGTGTGTAGTGGTACTGGATTTCAGTATTCAGTGCAGTTTTCAACCTGTACTGGTCAAACTTGAATCGTTATATTTTAGCATACAGGCAACAGTAGTCTTAACTCAGATGTATTGAAATGTCAACAATTAAAATAATTGGAACAATGATTTGATTTGCCTTTCTTTAGGTGCTCACCTGCCAGAGGTTATCGTCTGCCATCAAGTGCCTTAATTAATTTGTCTCATGGTAATCGGTCAGAAATGGGAAATCAAAAACTGACGGCCATAGTTAAACCCCAGCCAGCTGTAAATAACTACAATTCATACACGTCTGATCTATCATCTGTATGTTCACAAAAAGTGCATCTGGGAGGTCTCAACCATTCTCCTCGCTCCCTTTTTGTTCCTACTCAAGTAAGCGTTTTCTGTTTAAACCAGTGTTTTTTCCACAGAACCTGGGTTATGACTGTGGTTGTTATCCTTGTTGGCACTGGCAATTTCATTTGTAAGTTAATAATTCAGCGTATGCAGGTAACCCTTGTTTCTGATACATTAGTTCATACAATAGTGAAAGTGACCAGAAGTTCCTGATTGAGAGCTGTTTTGTTTTATTGAGTAGCTCCGTCTGGGTTTGCAAGAAGCAGTCAGTCCACAGAGGTGGGACCACAGTTGTTACTAATAGTTTGTTTTGGCAGAGATGCAGTCATTTTTTTAACGCTGTGTTCCAGGTAATGTTTCCGGTAGACCAAGCTTGTATGCTAACTCAGAAAGAGAACACATGATTTTCATGTCTGTTTGCTTCTTGGTACTGACTTGTTTCATTTGAAAATATAGTAAAGCAAGAAAAATGCCAAAGAGGTGAATTGGGGTCTCTCATTGGTTTAATTAAACTTTTTTCTTTTTTTATTAAGTTGTTTCTGGAGGGGGGAAAAAAAAAGCTTAATGGGTAACATCACGTGGCTATTTGTGTGTTTCAGAAGAATTGTCTCGTGTTTTGTAAGTCTGTAGAAGAAAAAGTGTTTTCCAAAAGAGAATTTAAGCAATGAAACACTTCTCCTCTTCTTCTTTTTTTCCCCCCCCCACCCCACCTCCCTTTAGCAGCTGAGTGGAAGGCAGCATTACAATCTCAGGGCTGAAAATCAGGGCAACTCCAGTTCACCCCAGAAAGGATCATTTTTGAGTGGAAATCAGAAAAATAAAGTGAGTGTTCCCGTTCATTTAGTATTAGAGCTGAACGTCTTAATATTTATTTTGGCCCGCTATTTAGAGCGAGAGTCCTTTTCTCGTGATTAACAGGTAGCATTGTTTTCTTACATCAGATGCTGTGAATCAGGTACAGACTGGGGCAGAACTTGTCCAGGTTTTTGAACGAGTGATTTCCTGTGTTACTTCATTTAGATACTAGATTTTCAAAATGGCTGTTATTTACATAGCTGGGCTTCAGTTCTGTGGTAACATGCCTATGAGTTTATTAAGCAGTTGAACCTGCCTGATTAGTGCTTACAAAATAAGGCATTAATAATAAATTTTTAAGAATACTACTAATCTGAGAACATGCTTTTGAAACCATTTTGAGTCATCATCTTAGTTTGATTATGCTCAGTGATCTTTTCCATGTTGATAACTTCTACAAATTGTAAGCGAACATAACCAGACCAATCTCAAACCAAACTGAGCTGATTAGAATTTAAGAGTGATTCTTTGGAAAAGTGGTACTATAAATACATTGTAGCCCACTTTCAGAATTAAATACCTGCAAGTTCTTCTAGTGTCAGTATGAAAATAATCTGTCATCTGAGCGCAGTTAACCTTGGGCGCTTGGATCTTAAGAATGTCTTTGTATATGTTTATCTGTTCAAATGCTGTGGTTACAGGTGCTGAGTTGTTGGGATGTTCTTTTTCTTATTTTACCAGGCACAGAGTAAGCAAGATGATGAATTCTGCAGCATATGGCAATCACTGCAGGGTTCTGGGAAATCTTACCACATTCAACAAAGCATGCACGAGAAGGTTAGTATAAAAACTTTAAACAGCTCCGTGGGGTTCAGAATACAAATGTAGTTAATTTTATACATCAGTTCATCACGTTGAAAAACTTTCCCGTTAGTGTTGAAGATTAGCCTTCTGAATCAAGGTATTGGTACCCAGGGTACGCATAGCTCTGAAAAGAAGTAATAATAAAGGACTAATATGTAAATGACAGATGTGTAACCTACTGGTTAAGGTTAGATTTTTGAATTCCTAGGGTGCAGTCCTACCTCAGGAAATCAAGCTGGGAACTGGCAATCAGTTCTACAAGCCAGGCTTCAATGAGAGCAGCCTTAAAGGCCAGCAAAGAAAACAGGAGCCATACAAAAAGTGTAAGTACTATAATTAGAAACTTTGGGGAAATTTACTTGCTTATCTGACTTTCACTGAGATAGCTATTGAGTTTTGTAGTTATTGACAGAAAATAATGTATTACGGTTATATAAGCACTGCATTGCACGTGTTATTGTCAGACACCATTCCTGGTTTGTGTAGTAGGCTATTTCATACTTAATATTGAACACTTTTAACAAACCTCTTCATGATGTTGACTTTCCGTTCACCTGATTAAAAGCCAAGGCTTTCTTTTTTTCTTAAATTTGCTTGCAGACAGTCATATTTCTTAGAGAAAAATAAAATTACAGGTATATTATTGCATACATTTAATCTTTGTTTACTTTATCCTACAAGAAAAGTATGAGAATGGCATTTGATGATGCAAGCATTGAAATTAATGCAACTTGGTGCACTTGTATGGATTTGTTAATCTTGAGTTTTATTATTACAATTTTTAAGATCGTTACAGAGGAATAAGCATACTTTTACATGATTTATTTGTAGTTAAAGAAGATTCTAAAGGTACAAGAAGTGAAAGTCAACCACATAATAAGATATCAAATAAACAGGTAATTTATTCTTCTATACTGAGTAAATGTATTTTTTTTATTTATTTTTTTCGTTTTACTCTGATCTAATTAATCATTCTACAGATTTCTCTTTACTGGGCATTTTAGTTGATTCTTTTGCTAGGTAAATTTTATTTTTAAGGTTTTTTTCCTCTCTCTCTCTCTCTAGAAATTTTGTATGCATAAAGTGAGGGAAACAGCAGAACACATAAAATGATGATATCAAATAATAAGAGCAGCCTTCAGAAGCTTTCTATACCTGTCCTATTTTTTCCTATTCTTCTTAGACACTAAAAGCTGTAGTGTAATGAGAAGATACAAATGGTGGATTTTCAGTAAGCTGAAGTCATTTAACAATATTAGCTTGTGAAAGCTATCTGCAGATGCATTTCTAATACAATGGTATTAGAACTAGTAGTACAGGAGTAATATTCCATAATAAGTGCTGCAGTTTGTTTCAGAATTTTGCAGGATTGAATAAGTACAATGTCAAACTCTTGAAGAGAAATGAAAGTCCCAGTGTGCCTGTAATGCAGAAGGCTTCATTTGATGGTCCCTCTACAGCTGGAAAGGTAGGCTCTAGATAGTTCGTTTTGCTGTACTCTTTGAATAACTTCAGTTTGTAAGCTGTTTTGTTCCATGTTATTCCTGTTGACTCGTGTGCACATTCATGCTATTTGCTATAGCAGATACAAGACAAAGCTGAATAGCCTTCATCATTTTTTAAATAATTTCTTTATTGGTCACTGCTTGTAATTTATATGCAAAACTTTATCTAGTCTGTGGCTATCTGTTCACGCTCTGACTAGGCATGACTTTGATCTGCCTGAACTCAGAGGAGGGGAAAAAAAGCCTGAATCAGCATACAATTAAGCTTAAACTAATACAGCCTTCCTCTTGCATCTGCCTGTAATGTACTGAATTGACCTTTTTTTAATTTGTTTTAAGAAGGACAATGAACTTGAAAGCCTCCTAGCTTCTTTGAAAATTTCCAAAGAAAATGAAGTGCAGACTAACTCCAAGGAAGCCAGAGCTACAAATGAAGAACATCTGTCACCACAGTCATTTGCTATGGTCTGTAAACTGCAGGAATCATTACGTGACAATTTAGCATCTGCTATCTTAGTATCCAAGCTTCTATTTAAAGAAACTCAATGAAACCTCCTATTGCCTTCTTAAACATATTGATGAATTTTTAATCAGCTGTTCTCAAAGAAAATAAACAAAACCTATTTGTTTTTGGTAAGATGCTGTTATCTGTGCTTTGGTAAAATGTAACTGATAGGGTAATAATTGTTGAAATTTTATTTTCGTTTGTGGCATTCACAGAGTTAACTAAGAAGACAGTGCTATCTCAAGACCATTATTTTCCTGAGTGGTTTATTTTTCTTTTAAAGAAAGGAACACAGATGCTCAAAGAAATTTTGAAGATAGACGGCTCTGACCTGGAAGCCAAGAATGAAGTGAAATCCCAAGTTAATGATCTTCCTGTTCCCCCTAGTAGACAGGATTCCCATGGAGCTGCCTTGCAATATAGACAAACGAAAAAAATGGGTATGTTTAGACTTCAGAGCTTCCCCTTACAGTGACAGTTTAGTATGAACTTAACTAACTGGTATTGTACTTACTTTCGGAATGAAGTTAAAACGCCCATCTTTTTCGGTTCTATTTCTTTCGTTCAGAACTGAAAAACTTACAGTATAATCTTCCGGTTTGTATTCAAGTCAGATGTGAAAATACAAGAGAAAAATCATATACTTTGTTTTCTGCTGATAACAAAGTTGCTGCCTTTTCCTGGGAGGAAAAAATTGTGATGTAACTATGTGTGGTTTTGTTTTTGTTTTCCTTTTGTTAGCTGCTTATATGAACAAGCCTCATAGCACTGGTGGCCCCCAGAACGCGTCAGCACTGGAAACTGGAGGTCACCCTTTCGTCGGTCCACAGCCTACACTGTCTACTCCTGTTTCCGAACTTTCTCATATTTGTTCTCTTCTTGGAATGTCACAGCCTGATTTCTCTTTCCTAAAAACACCACAGGTAAAGCTTATTTTTTATAAAAGTTAAAGTTCTTAACTTCATTTCAACTGTCCAATAATAAACGTTTTGACTAGTCACTGGAAACCATCTAAAAGTAAGACCTTAGCTCCTCTTGTTTCCTTTTTCCCAAAGCAATATTGATTAAACATAGTCTCTTTCAGTTTCCAACTCGCTGTTTCTGCAGCATAAATTCTCTCAAAAATCTTATCTCATTTTCCTAGACCATGACAGTTTGTCACATAAAGTTATCCAATGGTTTGTTGGTTCATGGACCGCAGTGTCATTCTGAAACTGAAGCCAAGGAAAAAGCTGCGCTTTTTGCTTTACAGCGATTGGTGAGAACAGCAAAAAAAATCGTTTGAAATCCTTGCATCTCCTTATTGCATTGAGTTTGTTTGTAATGCATCATTTCCCTCTTCAAAGAGCTCCATAGGAGTGAACTTCCCTTTGCCTCCACCTCCACCAGTGTTTCCAAATTATCAACCTCTGGGAGTTCCTGTACCACCTGGATCTATTCCTCCAGTCTTTACACAGCCCCCTCCTGGTAAGCATTTGACTTATGCACGTTTCAAATATTATCACAATTGTCTATAATTGTACCACTTTTTGTATGAAATTGAGTGCCTTCCAGAAAGCAGCATTTTTGGTCTTCCTATACGTAGTTGTACCTCTGAACTGCTTTGAAAAAGGTTCATTAACCTCTTCTCAGGATTCCGCAAATGAATTTACTACAAAAATCACGTAACTGCTAATTATTGCTCCTTCCTTCTTTTCTTCAAGAATGTATCTGTCCATTCACAGAATCACAGAATGGCCAAGGTTGGAAGGGACCTCTGGAGATCATCTAGTCCAACCCCCCTGCTCAAGCAGGGTCCTCTAGAGCATATTGCCCAGGATCACATCCAGACGGGTTTTGAATGTCTCCAGGGAAGGAGACTCCACTACCTCTCTCTCTCTGGGCAACCTGTTCCAATGCTCTGTCACCCTCACAGTGAAGAAGTTGTTTCTCAGGTTTAGGTGGAACTTCCTGTGTTTCAGTTTGTGCCCGTTGCCTCTTGTCCTACTGCTGGGCACCACGGAGAAGAGGCTGGCCTCCTCCTCTTGACACTCCCCCTGCAGATACTTGCACACATTGATGAGATCGCCTCTCAGTCTTCTTTTCTCCAGGCTGAACAGGCCCAGCTCTCTCAGCCTTTCTTCATAGGAGAGATATGTGTTTGTTGATTTTCTCCTTCAAAACAAAAGTGAGCAGTCAGCTGATAGTCCCAATCTAGTATTCATGAGAAGTCTCTTCCTTGATTATCTACATTTTTTTTTGTTTGCCTGAATAGTTAATATTTTTCCATCCATTAGTAATTTTATTTAGAATCAACTTTCAGTGAAGTGCTGCATCACAGTCCTGTTGCACGTTGTCAGCCATTAGCACGGTAAATAACCAAAACTAAATTGTTAAATCCCTGTGGCATTTTTGGTTCTCATCTGTTTTGTATTCTACTAAAGCTCACATCCACAGCTAGTAATTAATGACTCAGCACCACTGTAGTATCCCAGTAACATATACAGCAGCTGCTACATCTCATTCCCCCCCCCCCCGAGTTTTCTATATTGTTGCCTTGTTCCAGAAGGATAGCCCAAACTTCCTTTCTGCTAGTACAGGTCACTCGGGTAGGGATGTGACATCCAGACGAGCTTATGTATGCTTTGAAATGTAAATGCAGTGACCCAGGGCTCTCAACTGTGCTATTATCTAGATGCAGTTCCCTAAAAGCAGAACTGTTTTCTTTATGGGTATTTACTTATTCTTAAATAAATATGAAGAATAATAGGCCTTGCTGGAAGGAGAAACAGGGTACTTTGGGTTCTGGGGAGCTGCTATCCTCTTTTTGAGGAAAGAGAGCTAACAGTTATTTATTTTCACAGCTAATATGATGCCTCCATCATCTCACATGTTTGGTCCAGTGTCATGGGGAACTCCAGTGCCTGTTCATGGCAAACATTATTATCCTGGTTCCTATCCAGGAAATGTGCCTCTTGCAGGAACTATACCAGTTGGTACTCACAACCAGTTTATACCTCTGCAGGTAAGTTTGGCAGGTTAGTCTCAAGATTTCTATATTTGTAAAAAGTATCTACATGAAAAATGCAAAGACACCCCCTGTGAAGGATTATTTAGTGTTAGAAAATTGTTATAAAAACTGATATGCATGTTTTTTATAGTGGAATATTTGCAGGTTTTTTTTTTTGAGAATGCCTTCTGTTAAATAATATTTATTTAATTTAAAGGTAACTAAAAAAAGGGCTGCTAGCAAGAAAAACTTTGAGCTCAAGGAGTTTCAGAGTTCCCCTCAAGCTGCACCACTAAAGAATGAACAGCCAGTGTCTTCTGACCACATTCAGCAAGATAGTTCTTCAGCTCCTTTAAAATCTACTCAAGCTGCTCAATCCACTGTTTCATTTCAAGACCATGTGACTACTCCAAGCGTTCCTCATAACAAATCAACACCAAACCCTTCCAGCAAGCGAAAGCCAAGAAAGCTGGCTGTCAATTTTGGCGCACCAAAATCTTCAGAATAAATATGGTAGCTAGGTGGATTTTATCTTTAATTCTTCCCCCAGTGTTATGTTACATCATTTAAAAAAATCAGAAAGCTCTTTTAAAATCCCAGCCACTTTATATTATAGAATGAAATACATTTTATTTGCTATGCTTTTCAGGTCGTTATGAAAACTATAAAAATTATGTTAAAACTTAATAATTAAATTAACAAAAGCCAGGAAATACTGAGTTAAGGTTACCATGCCATCCATTGTGCCTAGGTTTCTGAACAGTGGCTTACAAACTCTACTGGGTGAGCAGCAATAACAGTGGCAACCCTAATTCAGAATTGCCTTGCTTTTCGGGTGGGATATGGAGCAGTAATAAGTTGGGCATCAAACATTGCTTAGTATGACATTTTGTATTCTAGCTTATTTTTAAATAGAGTAATGACATAAGAAGGAAAAATTATTCAAATGCAGGTTTGATGTTGGCTCTCCAGGTCTTTTTCATCTGAATCAGCATGACTAGAACTTAACTGCAGTGGAACTGCCAAAATTGCTATAACTGTGGACTGCTAGGTTTTATACCAAAGGCCGACAACTTTACAACTTTCAGAATTTAGATGTTATTAGATCTCTAGAATTAGAGTGGAGAAAGTGGCTGCTGATGCAGAACCAGTTCCAGGAGCTTAATTTATAAAATACATTGAATAAAAAATACATCTGCAAATTAGAGTCCTCTCTGGTAAAGTACCTTTAAATTTTTGAGCGAGTAGCTTTATTAATTTCATTGTTTTGGTAAAATAACACAGATATCTACTACAAATCTGCATAGCCCCCTGAAATGCCAGTGGAATCCTGAAATTTTCTAAATTACAAAAATGAGCAGAGTATAAAGATGTCTGTTTGCATAGTATGGCTGTCAAAGTTATGCTTGTTCAGAGTCCATTTTTCCCTCCAACATTCTGTGCCCTGAAACCTTCTCTATGGTATAGTGTTTTGTTTGTTAGATGACTTTTAATATTTATTTTTAATTTTGTGGCAGAAGTTCTGTGTAGCAAAACTGACATTAAATCATCATGAACTATTAGTGTTAATTCCGTAATAATATCCAGACAAAAAATTGACTTGCTTTTTTGGAGGGAGCTGTGTTTTAAGAAGTAACGCCATTGTGTTTAGTTCATATGGGAGAGAAAAAAAAAAAAAAGAAGGCTGAAAGGTTTCTGTACTATTTCTAACCCATATGCCTCGGGTTGGTGCTGTTTACTGATGTTTTGCTTGGATCTTGTTTCATTTTCTTCTTTATTCTAATCTGTTCCAGAGAAAATATTTTTTTTCTCTAAGCTCAGAAAGCTTAGTAATAAAGCACACTTTAATCTTTAGCGATTCATTTGGTTGCCTCCAAGCAGGTTTCGTGTTGGACCTGCAAGTCCATATACTTCAGTTCTCCCCCTACCTTGTTCTTTGCCTCCATTTCTTGGTTTAGAATCAAGACTCACATAATCATCTGATGAGATTTTTTTTTTTAATTCATTTCTCCAAAACAGTTGTTGCCACAGCAGTATTTGTAGGATAGCAGCAAGCCCTGTAAAAAGGACCACAAAGGTAAAAATAAAGCTAAGACATTTTAATTCATTTTATTATCACAAACCTTGTAGAGTAGTTTATATACAGTTTTAAAATACATTGATTGTTGTTTTTTTTCTTTATAGTTGTCTAGTTTTAAGAGGTTTTTGAAGCCATATTCCACGCAGGGAAAGCTGATCTCTTCAGTGATTTATTGTCATCAGTAACGTGATACTGACATGTTGCTGACATGCTAATATTCTAGAAGGGTTTATATGCAATTTAGTTATGAGACGCAGATTGTAGCTGCCCCCTCATCCATATGAATTGTCTGATCACCAGAGAAAAGATCTGTTTAGAAATTCCCATGATGGAGATTAGACTGGATTGGATTCATACGTTGCCTAATCTCCCAGATTCCAATCCCCTTTAAATTTTACCTGTTGTGTCATCATAAAAGTAGTTTATGGTTGGTACAGATACTGTAGTCTCTGCTGAAATTCTGAACTTAAAATTGCAGAATTTCCATATATCTGGATAGCCAGTTTTTGCAGATGAACAAATTTGTGAAGAGGACTATACTCCTAATTCCGGTAAATACAGCAACGTTTTTTCATTAATCAGTTGTTATTTTCAGACTGACTCCCCTGCCTCTTCTCTTGGAAATGCTATATATAGTTTACATAGCTGGTTGAACACTTATTAACTGTAGCTGCTGCGTATTGTGTTAGTCCCCTGCCTTTAGTTTCAATATATTGACTGCCCAGTTGATTAGAGTTTTACATGTCCTGGTACATGTAACATCTGCATTGACCTATGCCATGTCCCCTGTGATTTCAGTTATTTGGTTTTATATTTTAACTATGTGATTGCGTTTAATTCATACAGGTATAAATTTAAGCATTTGTTTTTCTCATAAATATGAAGTATTTTGTAAGCACTGGAATTTTTCATTAGATCTTATACAGAGCAGTATTTTACTAAAAATCCAAAAGGGAAGACTTTTATGTGCGCATTTTTGTAGTTTCTGATTTTTTTTAATAACCTTTCATTGTTTATCTGCCAAGTGAAATGTTTTAAATTTGCCTATGAATGGATACAGAATGTATTTTTTGTGCTGTTTAGTGTAAGTGTGCATTTGCAGATTTTTAGCATGTAGTTGCACAAAGGACTGTGCAAAGATATTTTAAAATATGAATATATGATACACTGAAGGAAAAACATTCATAAGAATTAAATGCTATATAAAACTTTAACGCAATAGAATAATTTTATAAATTGTGTCTGTGTCTGCTTGGATTAAATATTGAAACAAGAAATGTTACTTACTTTCACTGTTTTATTTTCACATATGTACTATATGGGAACTTCTGTATGCTCCAAATTGAAAGCTTCAGATATACGTTAAACCTCATAAAGCCCAGTTTCTGAGGTTCCCAGGAACAGCCACTGCCCACCTCCTCTGAGCTGTTTCTTGATGGCTTTCACCTTCTACTCAGTTAAAGATATGAATTTTGTTCCAAAGGCTGTTGGTCGCTCTGCAGTCAAAAAAAGCATTTAACTATTTACTGATCTTCTGAAATTTCTTTGGCCTCTGTCACCTGTTAGATTAAAAAAGGAAGCAGTGGAAAAGGCAGTGATTACTTTCCAGCAAGTTCAGGGCTAGCGGTTCTTAGCGTGGTGCAAAACCAGCTGATCGCTGAAAAGCCGGAAGAGTCACTAGTATCTGGACGTAAATGACACCCTTACGTGAAGCGTTTTTCTGTACCTGGAGCAAAACACTGCTGAGATTTCTACTGGCGTAGAGTAGGAATAGTGGCATCGTTTTGTAGCAAGGCCTCCAAATGAAGCATGACTAACTGTACGTTACTACAGTGTAATGTGTTTAAATTTCTTAAAGGGAGAAACAGCAAATCATATTTCATAATAAGATTTCACCATCCAAAATATTTTATAATAGCAGGCTTTTAAGGTTCAAAACTGCCCAACTAGTTATGAGTCTTTATTCTTATTTTAGAGAGGGTAAATGAATCTCTTCTCCTTTGTATTGTAATTATATTCCACATGCTGAATTTTGTTCTCTTTGACCAGTAGTCACTTAGGGTGTGTTCAAACTCTACTTGTTATTCCCTTTCAAAACATAATGAGCACTGTAGTCATGCCAGTTCATTTTACTATCTTTAGTTGTGAGTCATGAACTTTGTTAGGATCTCTCTCTCTCTCGCCTACCACAGCGCTGGATTTTCAGATGGAGAGCTGTTACTTTCCATCTCACGATTTATTCAGTGAATTAGCTTGTTTCAAGTCACTAGGAAAGGTTGGAGCACGCTCTGATAGGACCAGTTACTGCAACTTTGTGTAGCAGTAATCTGTATAGAACAACAGTGAAGGATTGGTACATGCGTTCGGGTCATATTACTCAACATGAAGATATCAAGATTCGAGCTTGCATTCCCGGAGCAATCTTTAAATTATTAGTCCATGGACTTCAATAACTTTGTGTGGCAAGTTCTACCTTGTGACTTGTCCTATATACATATAGTGCTACAGAAAATTAAAACAAATTAAAGGAATAATTTTAAAATTTGTCAGTTTGTGCCTAATAAATGAAGTGACACTTCAAAAAATGACGTGACTTTGTTTAGCTTTGTTTAGTTCAGTTAGTTACGATATAGATGACCCCTAGGAGTGAGGAAACCCAAAGAAGGAATGGTTGCTTTTATAGTAAAGGGTTGGGTTTTTTTGTTTGAAATGTGATCTCCATATGTATTCCATAATCAGCCTTCCTTACTACTGAGAGACAGTTATGTTCTTCTCTTTCTGCCTCTGGAAAGGGGACACAGTGACACCAAGGGCATAAGGGCAGTCTGAATACACACTCTTGGGCCAAAAGAATCCAAATTCAGGTGCGTGAGGATCCATGAATATTGAGAGTGTAGCTGATATGTATTTCGAAGAATTGGATGTTGTGAGGTAAGTAGTTGTTCGTTAACAAAAGAATCCATAGTTTGAGTACAATGACAGTTTATTGCTGCCAATTTTTGAGGTGTTTACTCTTATTTTTCTGAATTTTAAAAACTTCATGTTTCATTTATGCTTTGAAGGACTGTACAAATCAAAAAACAGAATTAGTCCAAATGTCATCAAGCGCAAACAAGTATTTGAAAGGACAGAGAAGGAATTTTTCAGTGAAACTTTGTTGTTTTTTTTTTTCCAAGTAAAACTTAGTTCAGCATTGCTTTATGAAAGTTGATCATCACCCTTAGTTTTGTATATACTGTAATGAAAAGATAGACAAAGGCTGGCAAACAAAAGTCAACATACAATTTCTGTGCCAGTAACAATAGCAACAAATTTCAAAATCAGCAACCTTTAGCATGTTGAGGCTACAGGGTGAAGGAAGAAAAAATGCGATTCCAATGAAGGTAAGCGGTCTCTGTGAAAGTAACCTGTGCACGCCTGAGGGGATAAAACAGACATTAAGTATTACATTTAATATTAGCTCCTGATGTTTCTGCCAGTACATGTTTCTTTGAAACTGTTGAAACACTTTGACAGTCCTGTGAATCTTAATTCAGCAATATAAATGGAAAACACCGTAGGCTGCTGAAGCCTCTGAGTTGATTGAGCTTGCATTTAGATGGTTTGTTCTTACTTTTTTTTTTTTCTGTTTCAGATTTTTCCTTCCCCCCCCTCTTTTTTTTTTTTTTTTAATGATAAAGTTTTACTGAATCAGCAGTTCTGAGGTACTTTTTCACCCCTTTAGCCCCCAGCGTATCCGTTGTCTTTTCCTTCTACTTAAGCTTCACTGATGGCCATTTACCTCTATTTTTAGACCCTTTCTGTGAGTTTCCAAAGTTTGAAATCTGTGTTCTTTTTAAAGAGTGTTCAGCCCTGGACTTTCTAGGTCCAAATGACCATTTCTCGCTTTATTCAAATACGTACATGTGTGTGTGTACCTGTGCGCACACACACACATGCACATATATATATATATATAGGACTCTTTCTGTTTTTTTCAAAGCTGCTCATAGTTCTGTCATTTATCACTTTCAGTCCTCATCACAATTTCTGTTTCAGCACAAATTCCTTATGTCCGTCATCCTCTAGGTGTCTCTTTATCTTGTATACGGATATTGCATGACCCCAAATAAGAAGCAGGAGTTGGTAAGGATGGATTAAAAATGCAGGGAAATAATTGAACAATTACAAAATCAGTATATCGCTTCTTACTTCACTTGCTTTGGCAGATAAACTCTTAAGAGTTGGGTGTGTTAAAACCTTATTGTCCTGAACTCCACCTCAACTTCACTCAAAGGTCACTTCTCTGTGACAGACCTGGCAGAAAGGAAGGCATGCTTGTGCCTCAGGCACTTGAATACCAAACTGAACGTATGCAGGCACAGTTTTGATGTGCAGTTCTCCAGTGAAAATGCTGGTTTAACCAGTCTCGTGTTACTTGTTCCCCCTTGACTGTGCAGATCTGCTTAGTTTGGCCACATTATGAACCATACTGAGGTATTCTTCTGACTGAAACTCTTTTCCCCGTGTTATTTTTCAGCTCGATGAGTTCACCGTGGAGCCGCAGGAAAAGGTGTGTTGCTACAAGAGTTAGCAGTATGAGCGTGGGATTGTTCAGCAAGACTGGGACTGCTTAAGAAACATCCCCATCACTGCCTAAAACTCAAATCACCCATGAAGCTAAAATGCTAGATGACCTGATGTTATTGTATGTGATTCTTTCTGTTAACTTCAAGGAGAGTGGTAACTTCTGGCAGGGGAGCAGGAGGAACTGCTGAGGATGATCATGCTAAATTATTACAGCAAAATTTGCCAAAAGCTCATCACTTTCGTTTTGGGTCGTCTGATAAGTTCCCAGGCAAGGCATAAAGAATGATGCCTGTGGGCTGCACAGCCAATGGAGAGAGAGAAATTAGTGGGCTGTTGCTTATGCAAATGAAAATCGGTTGAAGATACTGAGGTCAAGCCACATAGTGTGTTAAAACTCGGAATTGTTAGAGCTGAAGAAGTAAAATGCCAAACAAGAGTTTGGAGCAGCAGTGGAAGGGCAGATGCATCTTACAAAGTACAGCTAAGGAGGGGAACATAGAGGAAAAGCATGAGTTACAAGCTTTGGGTCTTGCTCTCCTAGATTTCAGTAGCTGAAATCCTGTTAGCTTGGCAGGTGGCAAGTTTGATTCGTACCAGTAGCCTGAGGGCAAGAGAACTGGCTCCTATGTAACGGCCGCACAGTAGAAATGCGTCCGAGAGTACCTTAAAAAACAATTGTTGAAATTATTTCCTGTTCCAAATACATTTTAATTAATAATTTGGAAAGGTCCCAGTCATAGAGAACGTCAAGGTAGCTCTCTTTCTAATAGTTGGGATCTTTCGCACTCTCAAGGCCTATTTTAATTACAGGAGCAAAATCTCCTGGCTTGGTATCCTCTGAAGCGTACTTGTTCCTGACTGAAACAGGCTGAGCATGATGACATAGCTCACAAATACTCGGTGTAAATTACTCATGAAGCAGGTTTGGTCATCTCTGCCAGAGATGATCTTGTTGTCCCTGATGTTCTGTTGTTTGGCTGGTTTTACTTAGTAACTCCTTTCCTTTGCTGCAGCATTGGACGAGTCCCTGGAGTGCATCCACTCCTTCATTTGATTTGATATTCCAGTAAAAGATAAGACCTATCATACTTTCCAGAGACGAAAGAAACCGAGGATTTCAACCCAGAAGATGCAGAAGTATGGTACATAGCTGCTGCAGTAATTGGTATGTGACTCTAGGTGTGTAAATTCTCTACCTGATGGAATAGTAAAACGGCACGTGCATGCTCCTATTTAAACCGGAAGACCAGGATGGCTGCCTCGTAGAGGTTATATGGGCTTGTTCGTCGGTGTGGCAGTGCAGTATAAAATAGCTTTGGAGGCTGTCAGTACATCCTCGCTGCAAATGAATGTGTTCGGGTTTGTGCTAAACTCAGGTTGGGGCTTTGCTCATATTGGTGACTGAAAAACTGTCATCGTTTTTTTTTCTGTGAGCGTGACAGAGATTTTGGGTGAAGAAACAGTGCCTGTGGAGGAATTAAAATATTTATGAAAAAATGATGTAAGCTAATGCCCAGTAAGTCACGTATGGACAGGCTATGTATGTGGGAAAAACTGTTGCCGCCTTTATTGCATTGCTTGTATCACATTGCAATTAGAATAAGAATATAGAATTTATATTTCATAAGTCTCTTCTTGAAGTTGAGCAATTTTAATACATGCTATATAACTGAGATTGTAGGTAGACTGCAGCTACACAAGTTAGGTCACGTTACCATCTTTCCAAAGTTTATATGGTATTCATTCCTTTCCAAGATACATCTAAGTTCTCATTAATATACTGAACAAAGTTTAAGATTGGCATAAAGAAATCAGCTTATGGTCGTTTCCATGCAATACAGTGAATCAGAGGAGTATGTTCTTGTTGCGTTAAGAGCTTGTAAATGGAAAAAAAAAAAAAAAAAAAGTAACTGGCACCTGTTTTTTCTTCTTGAAGTCCTGCTTTGTTTTGCAAAGAAATGCCCCCACTTGTATGCGAAAAACATTAAGGATGTCAGGATTTGTTTTCCCTATTTTATTTACGCCTTCTTAGATTTGAATGTTTAGAGAGAATTTTCAGCCTTTTTTTTTTTTATCAGCTACACATGTTGAATCTTATTCAGGGAGCTGGCTTTAGGAGTTCTAAATAATTAATTATTACCAAAACTAACAGAAAACTTAAAATAGTTTGAAGAATAATCTCAATCAGATACAATGTACTTGATGCCTTTCTGACATAAATGTGTTAGTTTTCTGTCTTTCTGTAGACTCTTAAAATTTGCAAGACTGAATAAAAGACCTGAGTTTTCAGTAAGAAGGACGAGTCGAAGAGGTGGTGACTTCTAACGAGCTGCTCCTTCAGGAGGGCGGTTAAGGAAGCCGTGGCTGTGGCTGTCTGACCTGCCTGCAGCGCCTCCCGGCTCTCGCCCGTGGGCCGTGGCAAAGGTCGCTGGCGGTGCGCGGTGGGGCATCCATCCCCTCCGTATGCGCTCTCCACTGCCGTTAATATTGCTGGCTTAAAGATGAGAGAACGTCAAGAATGTCGCGCAGAAGGCAGCTTCTTGTAAGGGGCTGAACGAGGGGGAAAATACTTTGCATGCATCTTTTGCTTTTCCTATTCTAATTAATTGAGGGGGTTAAAACTATTTTATTAACTAAATGGGAGTTAAAGCAAAATTCTGTTGACGCGAGCTTGGGGTCCAGCATCCTGGATTTCATTGCCTAAGTGAAACGGGGCCATCTCTTCACTGTTCTTGTGTTCGCTGTTCCAAAACCAGTTTTGTAAAACGTTTCCCTGAACGAAGGAAGGTAAATGGTGCAAGTGAATTTCTGCAAACGAAGTTTTCAGTTTAATCTGCTCCCTGGGTGCAACTCTCAGCCTGCGGGGGCAAATCCCAGGAGCAGCCTGTACCCAGCCGTTGTTGCCAACTACAGGCAGCAGCAGGAGTGGGTTTTTTTCCGTGTGGTCCTGCTCTCAGTAGGGGTTGGGTTTAAACTGCATGTTTGCTCACGGAGGGAGTAAAAATGAACGTGGTGATGAGATTTTTCCAGTGGCACTCACTGAATTCTTTTAGAAACCCTTTAAAAGACGGCGACTGGGCGTTTTGTGTGTAACTCTGTTTAGAAATGGCACCGCCTAAACGCTCCTTTTGTTTTGTTTTGCTCCTTCTCCTCCGTTCAGGGTTTTTTCGGGTGGCTCTGAGCGCGCCCCGTCCGCGTCGGCCCAGCGGGCTCCCAG